CCGGTCTGATCTCTGCTGCTGATTCAGGATGAACTACATCAACCAGTGAACCAATGATCAATAATCAATAATCAGACGCGCAGAGGACAGGAGTTCTGTCTCCCGGTTCCGCAGTGCTCCTCGCACGCACGCGCTTACCGACCCGCGCACACGCTGCGGGTGCACTCCGCTGTCACGGAGAGAAACGCCTCGTCATCCCGGTGCGCGAGCCCGACCCGGTGGGAGCCGATCGGTGATCGATCAGGGATCGATACTCACCTTGTAGAAGATGAGCTTCAGGGTGCCGTAGAAGCCCATGATGCCCCGCTGCCCCCCCGCCCCGACACAACCGAAGGGAAAATCCGAAGAGCCCCGAAAACAGCCGACTGACGTCACTGATCCATCGATCCGTGAACGGACGGTGATCGATGAGCCTCCGATATCTGATCAGCTCCTGATTCCGCTGCTGCTGCTGAACACTGACGGTCTGAACGGCGAGACTGCAGCAGAAACACGCAGGACACGCCCCTGTGCGTGGGAGGGGGCGGAGCTCCGAGCGGCGCGTGTGTGTGTGTCTAGGTGTGTGTATGTATATGTGTGTGTGTGTATGTATATGTGTGTGTATGTATATGTGTGTGTGTCTAGGTGTGTGTGTGTATGTATGTGTGTGTGTGTCCTGAGCCTCCACTGTGTGTGTGTGTATGTGTGTGTATGTCTGTGTGTGTGTCCTGAGCCTCCAGTGTGTGTGTGTGTGTGTCTGTGTGTGTGTGTGTGTGTGTGTCCTGAGCCTCCACTGTGTGTGTGTGTGTGTGTGTGTGTGTGTGTGTGTGCAGATCACACTACCCACAGCCAGCGGTGATGTTCTACTTGGTGACCTGCAGATAAACCAACAGTTCCACATCCAACAGGCCGACACAGATCACAGCTATTGATCAGCGTTATTGATCGGCCTTTTCTAATATTTATTATTAGCTGATTCAATTTTCCAAACAGGATCAAGCCCGTCATGTCATAGACCAGCTGCAGTACCTGGTTGTTCCACCAGGTGGAGCCTCTCACTGTGTAATCCTGTAGAGACCATAGACACGTATAATAAAGGCCAGATGGGAGGAACCTGTGGTCGTGAAGGAAGCTGAGTGATCTGCACAAACCTAGATACTCTGATCTCGCTGGAATCTGGACGGATTTACAAACGGTTTGGTTTCTTACAAATTTTATTAAGGTGGCAACAATTCAAATGACAAAAATACAAATAAAATACACAACAATTAAAATACTAATTGTTGCTGGCTGTGAGAGCGTAACATCATTATCCATCAGTTATAGCTACACCTCTGACGTTTAGAACAAACCAAACCGTCTGGAAATCGGTAGAAAACTGAGCAAGTTGTGGTTGTTTAAAAAGTCCATGCACCACCACAACACAATGCTATGGGTGAGTGAGCGGACCGAGCCAAGATGGCCGCCAGTGTGGCCGTGCGATTCCATTGGCCGACAGCGCGGACGAGACATCTAACCTTTATTAGACTTATCTATGGTCGAGACCAGAGGAGGCGTCACTTCCTGGTTGGCCACCAGAGAGACTCGTATAAAGACAACTGGCTTCAGGACATTAATATTCATAATCTGCTGCTAACCGAGCTGAGGCTGGTGACCAGCAGAACTAACCAGCAGCAGGCAGTTACTCTGTAGTGAATGTTAGTGGATACTAACCAGCAGAACTAGTCTTAGTGAGCAGTACAACCAGAACAACCTGCTGCTGTCCACACATGGCTGCTGTGACTAGAAGACAATGTTGCTTTGTTGGAATACTGGTTACATGCAGAGCTAGCTAGCTAGCTACATAGCAATCGCTACATCATGCTAGTATGATCTAACAACAGCAGCTAACGTAGCCTAGCATTAATAAATTACACAGAGTCAGTGCTACGACACTGCAATGGGATAGCATCTTCAGCTCGTCATAGAGGCAGCTAGCGTAGTTTTTCATCAGGGGCAGTAACACATCAGGGGCAGTAACACATCGGGGGCAGCAACACATCAGGGGCAGTAAACGTGTAACCGGCTGTGTCGGATACAGACTGGACCCGTTTCAAGGCACTGCGGACGTTAATGGTTTTGCTGGTTTACTTCCAGTCTGACGTCTCCACAAACAGAAGCAGGTAAACCAGCCTTCAGGTAAACCAGCCTTCAGGTNCCACCGACACACCTGCAGCCTGTATTAATATGTAGTATATGATGTATATTCTATATAAATGTGTCTTCTGTACGTTTACCCTCCTCGCGGCACTTCTCCCTCCACAGCAGGTTGTCTTCGGCCAGGACCCTCCAGTACCGGCAGGTCTGAGCGGCCTGCAGCAGGTCTCTGGGAGGCAGGAAGGTCAACACGTACAGCGCCAACTGGAACCAGAACAGCACCAGAGTTCTGTTAGCAGGACCGTCTTTAATGTGGGCCTGCAGCCAGACAGTGGGGCGACGGTGCCGTACCTCTTTGGGCAGCAGCGATATGAAGTCTCTCTGGAACTGAGGCTCGATCACCTGCATCACGTGCTTCACCTGACTCGTCTCACACCTGTCAATCAACTCGTCCAGAGCCAACAGCCTCTCAGGACCACTCCACATCTGCAGGAGGGGCGGAGCCAAGAAGAGAAGGTGAAAGGTCATTATGAGGAACCAGTCAGAACATCTCACCTGAACCAGATTCTGTTCTGCTGTCACTTTATCTAATGAGGCAAAGTTTGACTTCATTCTCTGAACATTTCTGTTACGTTGGTTACAGGAGATAAACCGGTCCTCCCTCTAGAACTGGTTCTGACCCAGCATCACCACACATGCTGGTATGAGCCTGGAACGTTTACCCAGAATGCACTTTGTAAAGTTTCCTCTGGTGACTGATCAGAACCAGAACCACATCCAGGGTACCGATGATTGTTTCTCTGACTCTATGTCATAGACATTAAACTGGTACCACTATGATCCATCCCATAATACTGATGCTACCAGCTGCTGACAGAGGACATGAACAGAACCAGGTCCAGTGTTCAGACTGAGGCACCTGGATGGATGTAGAACTGATCTGGTGTCAGTCTGTGAACTTCCTCCTCGTTCTGTTCTGTGCTTCATGGTTCTGCCTTCATTCGTTAGTCTTTGTGTGTTCTGGTGTCCTCGAGCTGCACAGGCGTCCACGTGTGTCGTCTTGTGTTCTGGTCGGTTACGTAAGAACCGCTGGAGGCAGCTGCTCTGTTCATGTGCAGCAGGCGGAAGATGCAAACACACACTCACAAAAACACCGAACAAAACGCAGAACATCAGGACATGTGGCTTTATTGTGCGTCTGCAGGTCAGCAGTGGTTGTTTAGGTCTGAATGTTCATCAGCAGCTCATGACTCAAGCTACGAGTTAGACACACTGATCAGGCACTTCTTCACCTGATGGCTGCACAGAGGGCCCAGAGTCCACTAGGTTCTGCTCACATGTTCTGATGGAGGAGACCAGAGTCCACTAAGTTCTGCTCACATGTTCTGATGGAGGAGACCAGAGTCCACTAGGTTCTGCTCACATGTTCTGATGGAGGAGACCAGAGTCACTGAGGGTTGTGCTGCTCTACCTTTCTCTGGAAAACATCACAAAGGGCTT